GTTGTGAATGTTTAGTGTTAACACTTAAAATATCCATAGATGTAGTTTTGTATGTTCAGTGTTAACACTTAAAATATCCATAGATGTAGTTTTGTGTGTTCAGTGTTAACACTTAAAATATCCATAGATGTAGTTTTGTGTGTTCAGTGTTAACACTTAAAATATCCATAGATGTAGTTGTGAATGTTTAGTGTTAAAACATTTATAATATCCACAGAAAGGTGTTAATATTTTCAGTTTGATACAGGTTTCGTAATAAGCTGCATATATAATACATTTTCTTGTACAACAGTTTAGGATTAGAAAAGTAATCTAATGCTATATTGTTGTACCTGAGGATGTCTACGTTATTTATCAAAGGATAGTTCAAAAATGTTTTTAAAAAAACTCGGAACAAGCTGAAAATAGAACGAGTGGTGTCATGAGAATAATTGATTAATTGAATTGTAATCAGCAGACTGGTGTTCACTTAAGTTCACTTTATTATTTCATCTGTTTCTAGTATAGTAAATAAAAAATTGAGCTAAAAACTACTTATTTTATTGCAGTTTTAACTAAATTTGTACCTAAAGAATACAAAATCAAAATTTTGCTGTGCTTGTATAAATTTTTCAGTAAACCTGTTAACGTACTGTTCAAAATCAGAATTAATTATGTATGTCATTATCAAATAATAAATATTCATATCAGATTTTGTTGTTTTACTGTTTTTATTAACTAGGGTTCTGAATGACTTGTCTGACCTACAGAAAGTAGTATCGAAAAAGAGAAAACAGTTGGAATCTGTATGCAAAGACATTAATGAGCAGGTTCTCTACTGGTAAGGAGGTATTTCAAGTGTATTTATTTGTAACATTGATAACTATTGTTTGGGAGGTTTTGGATTTCAAAACCACGTGATTTCACTGCACGTTAACTACTGAATCTGTCATACAAGTTTTATTGTGTTTGTTTATGTGTAGTTTTAACGTTTTCACAAAGTAATTTCTAAGTACATGTAAGTGAGTTTATCAACACACTGGTGAAAGTTTTTAACCATCAGATTGAGTTTTGATAGCACTGTGATCATTAAGTAGTATAAGACTACAAAAAATGAAGACAAAAAAAAAGTTGTTTATAAACAGCTTGCAAGTGTCAACTACTTTATGTTCTTAATTATAAATTTCTATGATTTTGATTTTGTAATTTGTATTTGTCATAATAAATATGCTAGTATTTTCCACACATATAATGAATTAGTTGATTAATAATTGACAAGTTTCAACGTACTATTGTGGATTTAGGAAGGATCAAGACACTTGTTCCACAGCTGGAGAGACCAATAAAGAAGTACCTGATTGCAGTGGAAAAAAACTGTAAGTTTTCATCTCGGGTGAGCTTATTATTCATAGTAGAAAGTTTGAACTTGGAGAGAGAGGGGACAATGAAAAACCCTATAACCTGTGCACTTTAGAAAGGTGGACCTTTCTCCTTCAGGGGCAAACTGAATATCAAGAGGTGCTGGAGCTCCGGATGAAATGCTCTACATATGGTCTTCTATGTTGAATGAATTGAGGAACCTTTTGACTGAATCCTGTGTTCTTAATGCAGACTTTTCAATCTTCTGCAGGATTTAAATCACAATCATATTGGTTTTGACAACATATTGAGAGTCGCTTTAACACGCTGTGATCGCTCCTGTCACGTAGAGCTGGACGATTAGTGGAATTTATTAACTGATTAATTTGTCACTCTGAGTATGTTCAAAGCCTACTGCAGTCTTACCAGTTGAAATACTTGCATGACTTTGGCGTTTTTTAATGGGGAAATTTATCAGTCTTTTGATGTATATATTGGTTTAGGAACGAATTTTGCTAAATGTACTTAGGAAAAAAAAAACTACCTTAACCTCCAAATCTGAGAATACCAAGTGAGCAACCTGCAAATATTGAGCTAGCAAGGGTTAAAACTGAAGTCAATTGTTTCATTTTCAATACATCTTAATGCATATAATAATACCAAAAAAGTAGAACTGGGATGGTAGTGGTGGACGGTAACCCTCTGTTTTCCTGTAGCTTTACTGTGATGAACTTTGTCGAATTTTTTATAGTCCCGAAATGGTCAAGTTATGAGAGGTATCTACTTTCTATTGAGTTTTTATTCTAATACGTCAGTCGTGAGCAGATGAAGCAGTGTTACTGTTATATTAAGGTAATCGACCTATGAAACAGTTTGTCTGCAGGATTAGAGAAGCAGTAACATTGAAGGAGTTTAAGAGGAAATTGGGTGAGTATTTTTAGGAATCTGGGTTGGATATAGGGTAAAAATGTATGTAGCTTGGAGTTGTATGGTACTAGTAACTGCTATAGTCTAAATGAGTTGCATGTTATCTCTTGGAAATTAATGATTAGATGTAACAAAACTACAACAATTTTTTGAATTGCCTATTTTAAAAAATAAAAATCAGAAGAAACGAGAGAATGAAGGAAAAAGTGTGATAAAATAGGTCAACATTTTGCCTTAAATGTAAATATAAAATATGAGTAAAAAACACAAGAACCAACATTCTTTGTGTCCTAAAATGCTGGTTCTAGTGTTTTTTACTCTTAACTCTTTCAACCCAGCCTCGGTCCCTGGGACTGATCTCGTAACCATTTTGTGCTTGTTATAGTTTTCATGCTATAAC